TGTCAAGCATTGGAAGAGGCTGCCCAGGGAAGTGTTTGAGTCCCCATGCCTAGAAGTATTTAAAAGACATGTAGATGTGGTGCTTAGGGACATGGTTTAGTGGTGGACTTGGCAGTGCTAGGTTAACAGTTGGGCTTGATGATCTTAAAGGTCTTTTCCAACCTAAACGATTCTATGATTCTATGATTCTAAGTAGTTACTCCCTCTCTAGTCTTGGCTAGAAGGTCATCCTGTGCTGTTTGTATTTATGCTTAACACAGTTGTTTTTTAAACTTTTTGCCATCATGTTCTTTTGGTAAGAGCAAAGTTTTCAAGACTCATTCTAATCCATGTTGGAGGCAGTATTCATACTGAAGATACAGTAGCACATGGGAAATCCTACTGGCTGAATGGTGGGATGGATAACCTTGTTTCTCTGTGAGCAACATATTTCATAGGAGGATTATTGGCCAAAACAGAAGCACTGCAGCCAGAGGAGAAAGGATGAGGCCCAGAACAGAGATCAGAGGCTCTGAGAAAAGCTTCTGTCTTTGGTCCTGCTTTTGTATTTCCACTCTGATTTGTTTTCTTCTCAATTTTTTTGAAAAAGTCCCTCCTTTCTCTCCTCAAGGGACTGAAAACAATGAAAGGAGAAGAAAAAAAGTTTTTTTTTCTGAAAATGACTTTTTGTGAAATGTGAATTCCAATGAAAAAAACTAATTTGGGTTATTTAATGTAATTTTTGGGCTCGAATCTAATGTGCTAAATCAAGAGCCTCACCTTACTTTATAAGAATAAAGACATCCTCTTTCTATTGAGTAGATAAGTGGTCAACTCCCCATCTTTGGGAATATTCACAGATGTTATGAAGATAAGAAGCAGAGATAGGTATGGCAAGTTAAAATATTGGTGAAGAAAAAAAAAGTGTGTGAAATGAGTAAGAGGCTAAAAAACCCAGTTCTAATTTCCCAGAAGTCGTATGGTTTAGTTTTTTTCTGGAGACAAGTTATTCTTTGAGACAGCTGTGGTATGGATTCCTTCTTTCTATTTGGTCCTAGAGACTTTTTGAAGCTCAGTATGCTCTGAATGGCTGGAATTAAAACGAGCTTTTCTTACCCTCCTTCTATATGTTCATCTGTCACCATTCTTCATCATAGTTTTTAGATGCAAAACTACTAAAGTTAGTAGTATACAAATCACAAAGTAGCATAGCACAGTCGCTTTACTATTCAACCTGAAACATACCATGTATTCCTTCTAAAATTTGTTAATGGGCCCACATTTAGTAATCAAGTCTAGAGGGTAGTTATTTGGAAACACAATAAAGAACCAAGTGCCATAGAAGCTGAGAGGAGATGATACACTTTTAAGTAAGCTGTGTTTTTTTCCAAGTTAAAATGATTTCACACATGATTGTTTTCTCTTCCAGCTTTCCTTTAACTTTTTCCATATGATTAAATCTAAATAATATTGTGGCTTCAGAGATAAGGTCTGCTTATGGCTTTTCCTATAACCATGTTGTCCTTGCATGTTCAAAAGGTTCTGTCTAATTTCTGTCCTGATGGAGAATATTGGGTAGGGACAGGGCCAGCAGCTACAGTAGTGCCTCATCCCAATCTTTCACTCCAGTTAACTGATCACCTTTGTCAAACAACTTCATTGTTCCAGACTTCTGCATTTGTAAATAAAACCACTGTAGGCAAATAATATTGATCCTCTGGCATATTGCAGAGGGATTCACAAGGCCACCAGCAATTTAACCTGGATCTGGGTGAATGGAGACTATAACGCAAAGTTCCATTTTCTCTCTTTATTGCTGAGACCATTTTATTTTTTTTTATCACAACACTGTAGAAGGTGTCCTAGTCTGTGTTTTGGGTGTTATACAAATGCAGGACAAAGACCCTATTCTCAAAGAGGTTGAAGCCATAGAGTAAAACAGTGTGAGGAAAGTGTATATGGAAACAATGACCTTGTGATGATCGGTGAGGTGGATAATGGCTTCATTGTGAGCTGTATAAAAGCATCACTCAAAGAGAGATTTGACAGCAGACAGCACGACAGACAGGCAAGCAGAGTTTTATAGGGAACTCTTCCCATGATGAGGGCTCTGATAAGAGAGAGGATTTTTGAAAGCTTTTCTAAAAAAACAAAAAAAACCAACTCTAAACTCACATAGGCAATAAGTGATAATATAAAAACTTTGTAAGGGTCAGAAACTGAACTTTCAACATGGAATGACACATTAGTTTTAAAAAGAAAATTATAACATGAAAGGCCTTGAAAATGAGGACAAACAAAAATACAGAAAGCAAAAACTTGCATAATCACCTTGGACACAGGCACCCGGTCACCTTTTGTGAAGACCAGTAAAAGTGACGATGGAGTAACTGAGATGTAAAATAACAACATGAATATATACTCAGATCATATCTTAAAGGTTACGTAAATAGCTATAGTATTTATCAGCTGGGGAGGAGGGGGGCAGGGAAGGATGAAGTTGAGGCTTGGTGACCAGATAGATGAATACAGTGGGCACAGGAGACCCCTAATGTAGAGACCCTAACTATTTCAACCTGGCCAAAGATACCAGCACCTCACAGACATCCTTTTGGATCCCACCTGATCCTCTTGCCCCGCCATGAGATCCCTAACTTACCTGGGTCAGAAGCTTGCGTTGGTCAGCAGAAATGAAGACACTGCTGCCAGACATGTCAGAACAACCCAGCACAGGGTGGTTTAGCATGAGAGATTGTGAGCTGTAACATCTGGTTGGTGCAGAAGGCTAGGATGAGTGGCTGCCATGCTGGGAAAGCAAGTATCTGCCTGACATATGCGCCACTCCTCTCACCATCCCACGGCCAGATGCTACCTGCACTGGACCTGAGCTGTGAAAGATTGCTGAGTTAAGGGGAAATAAAGGAGAGGTGCAAATAAAAGGAGTAAGGATAGGCAGCACTTTTTGCACTGGAGTATGTTTGAACTCCCTGTGCTAATATTTCCTGCTGGCCTATATTTCATCTCTTTCCTCCTTCATTAACTGTCTTAACAGCTGACCTTACCACCCAGTCTTGGACCTTATCTCTTCATTGTCCCCATGAATATGAAAGCCTTATCACCTGCTCACAGACAGGTGTTCAAAAATTGGGTATAAGCTATCATTATTAAAAATCCACCAAGTCAAGATTTATGAGGTCATAAAAGAGATGAGTTCAGAAGAAAAACAGGGTACAAAAAAATTTGCAAAGCTTTCATGTAGCTTCACTGTAAGAAAATAATATTTAAATACTTTGACAGACAAGTTTATATGATTTGATAGCATGAGTTTTGCTTTTTGACCCAAGATGTGTATTATTTTCAAGCATATCAGCATCATTTTACGATCCATATAGAGAGTTATTGGTGTAATTACATTACATAATGGCACGAGTATAATTAATTTAGCCTTGGTGCTTATTTGTCCTTATCACTCCCATAATTCTATAGAAGTGCCATAATTCTGCCCTTTGCTTTAGTATCTGATTCATTTGCTTGCCTGCAGGAGCATGAGTTAAGGGGAAATAAAGGAGAGGTGCAAATAAAAGGAGTAAGGATAGGCAGCACTTTTTGCACTGGAGTATGTTTGAACTCCCTGTGCTAATATTTCCTGCTGGCCTATATTTCATCTCTTTCCTCCTTCATTAACTGTCTTAACAGCTGACCTTACCACCCAGTCTTGGACCTTATCTCTTCATTGTCCCCATGAATATGAAAGCCTTATCACCTGCTCACAG